AGCAGGGGGAAGGAGAGGAGGAGGAACAGGAAAATGAGGAGGAGGAGGAGGAGGAGGAGAACGAATAAGACAACGAATAAGAAGAAGACAAACAAAATAATAATAAGAAGAAGAATAATAATAAGAAGAAGAAGACGAATAAGAAGAAGAGGAAGAAGAATACGAATCAGAAGAATAATAATTATAATAAGAAGAAGAATAAGAAGAAGAGGAGCAGGCGGAGGAGGAGGAGGCGGAGGAGGAGGAGGCGGAGGAGGAGGAGGAGGAGGAAGGAGGCGGAGGAGGAGGCGGAGCAGGAGGAGGAGGAGGACGAGGAGGAGGAGGCGGAGGAGGAGGAGGAGGAGGAGGAGGGGGAGGAATAGGGGGAGGATTTTTTTTTGCCGCTGCGCTACTCTGCCGCGAGTGGTCGCGGTCCTCCTGGCGGCCAGCCAGGCAGCCGACGAGCACGGCACTTAAGACGCTGCCAGCGCAGGATTGTTCCATGCACGCTGGCCGACCCGCAATGCAGGCCACGCGACAGGGCCTTGCCCCCGTGGCGACTGCCAGGAGGCCCACCCGTCGGGCGTCAATCAAATAACCGCACCGCACTGAGAGCATCCACGTCGAGCCAAATAAAGTCGCTCTTCGGGTGCTTGCCAGACAGGAGACGGTTCCAATATGAGGCCGCCGAGCGGGGGCAGTGCGGCTTACCATTACAAACTTTGTTGAGATAGCGCACGTAGCCCCCAGCCGAAAAAGCCTTACACTTCAGGCAGATACACAAAGCGCTACCGTCAGAGCAAGACAGGGCAATGCACTTGTGGCCAAGCTCTATGAGCTTGGTGTCATAGAGCTTGTGGGTGTGACGACAGACACTGTTGGGAGGCCAACAGGACCTGGACACCCTCAAACATTGCTTGCACTGCCAGTAGCCGTCCCTATGCACCCAAGAGTGGCTAATCTTGGGAGCGGACACGGCGGGCTCCCGCTGCTCACGCGTGGCCTGCGACAGATCACACGCGGGCCAGAGCGGTAGCATCCTGGCAGCCAGCACACACACTTTCTTCCGAGCTTGGCGTAGTGATCAGCTAGGTCGTTCCCAGCCTTACAAAACCGCAAATGATCATCCCCTTGGGCCTGTTCTTCGGTCATGTGACCTTTGACCTTGAAAATCTGGCCCATTTCAGAATCAGCCGTCCAAACAAACATTCCAGCGTGCACCCGTTTGAAAGACAACTGTTCTGAGCGGGGGAGGGACCACACCTGTACAACATTCTGACAATCACTATAACCACATGACGGTTCCAGGGCATTCTGGCAGGCCGCCGTACAAGCAGCGAGCTCACCAGCCTGAGCCGTTTGCGGGATGGGGAGGGGGAGGGGAGCGTACACATGACCCAACTCTTGCCCAGAATCGGAGACCGAGACATACGACCACCCCGTCCGCGACAACTCCCGAATGACCGACTTGATGCACGAACCGTCCATAAAAATATGACCTTTCACGAAATAATCATCACGACCAGGGTCACTGGCATGATAAACAGTAGGTTCAGCAACAGTAGGGGCTGGAAAGAAATCACCAGGATGAGACATAATCCCCATGGTAAACAGAACCTGATCGTGCTTCGATAGGGATGACCATGCTGGTGGATGGTATTGAAAGTCATCCCCTAAAAGCTCGCGGCGCAGCTCGGTACAGGACTCGTGCACGCGCTTCCACAACCGGTGGAAAATCGTGTCCTGCTCCTTGCCGCACAGGGGGCAGAGCAAGTCGGGCAAAATGTAGCCGTGCTCTGACGCTCTAACCTTGGTCCACGGAGCCTGACAGACGAGCCCGCGGATACAGCCTTTCTCCCAAGGCGTGAACTTAGACGAAGCCATAGCACGGAGCGGCACGTCTAAGCAAGCACGTCGCTCAAGACCAAGGCTGTCTCCGTAGGCACGCTCATGAAATCTGAAAACGGCGAGACGCAGCAGACGTTTGAGGAGGGCAGGAGAGACAAGCGTCAACTGAACTTCCACCCCCAAATCGTCAACCAAGGTAGAGAAAGAGGGCATCTTCCACCCAAGACGCTCCACGGACAACCTGAGGGCCCCAACGGGACCTCCAACCTGCCTCCAGGAGGGGGAAGGGCCCGCAAACACAGTACTCCAAGCCCCCCTGAGCTCGGCCAAGCTGAGGCCAAACTCGAAGGAGGCCGTCAGGCTGGCCCAGATTTCTTTGGACCAGCGCACGATCGGGGCCACAGCACAATACCAAGTGGGGTCGGCGGCGAACAGCAAAGCTGCAGTGAGAGATCGGCCTCCAGCCGAAGGGCTGAGAAACCGTCCAAGGGATCGCCGCAAACTCGCCAACTCATGGTCGGAAGTGCCATGTACCTCACAGCCATAAGTTCTGCTGGCCAAGGGGCCACTCGCATATATACGCTTGGCGTGTCTCCCCAAAGCATTCCTGTGAACCCTCAACCTACGACATTTAGTTTTGAAGGCCTTCTTACGAATCTGAATCTTAGCTCCTCTCCTGGCCGTCCGCCGAGGCTTGCCAGCAGCGTCGCCAATGCCCAGGTTGACAACAGATGCGCAAGGAGCTCCGCCCACAGCGCCAAGGCCTCGGCGGATCTCCTTAGCCACTAGAGGGACTGAGGCGACCACAGCCGCCTTGCTAACAGAAATAGAGCAACCAAGATCGGACTCGATGGCCACCTGCAATCGGAAAGCAGCTTCGATCAGGTCCTGTACGACGGCCTTGGGAGCCCCCGTGCACGACAAGGTGTAGTCATCGATGTAAACTCTCAACGAGACCGATCTAGGGATGCTAAGGCCGTCTAAGGCAGCTAGCGTGAAGACGCGAATGAAAGTGGTGGCGAATCCACACCCAGCAATCAAACCTCGCCACGCAAACTGCGGGCCCTCCACGCGGCCGTTCATGGCCATGTAGCGGCACGAGCGGTAAGCCTCGTAGCAGACCCTGGCAATCTGCATGGGAAAGGAATGCTGGTGACAACGAGCGAGGAGCGAGTCGAGGTCGACAGCCTCGTAGAACTTCAGAAGATCCCACAGGACAGACCCAGAACAGTCCTTGGAAGCCACAGCAACCTCGCTCCTCACTCCTTGCCTCCAGACGGTATCGACACTGGAGGCAGAAGCGCCAGCACAAAAGTATTCTCGGGCATTGGCCACTTCCCACTGCCGAGCAAGGTCTCGCCTGGCGCGGGCCCACAAACGATGCAGAGCAACGAACAGTCCGATTGGGCGGTGCCCGCCACCGGGCTTCGCGAGCATAATAAGCAGCACAACTCTCATCTGACCAGGCAACAGACCCGAACGTTCCCAAATCGCAATCATGATCGACAGCACCTGCAGAGCAGGGTCCGACAGATGCTGAAACGACCGAACATGAAAGCCATCCACAGAAGAGGCGGTACGAGCAGGAAACGAACGGGCCGTCCGACGAAGATCCTCGACCGAAAGCACGGGCAGAGGCTCGAGAGGCACGAATCTGGAGCCAGAAGGTCGCGGCTCGGGAACAGGTTGGGCATGCCAGATCCGCGCAAATTTCTCGAGCTCGGAAGATAAAAGGGCCCCAGGGTCCGAAACCACCTCGCCTTTAGCCGACAGGGTCGTAGAGGGGGTCCACCCAGCAGCTCCCCGAATCACCCCGTGGGCATGACGGGCGCCGTTTTCAATATTGTGACGAATCCATTCCAACCAGTACAAATTATCATCGTGACGAGACTTGCTCTCAGCCGCCGCCAGGGCATGGGAGACCAAATCAAGCACGCGTTGGGGTTCCCCCTCAGTGACAGGTTGGCACGGGGGGCTATAGGTCACAATATCTTGCACAGCCTGGAGGAGAGTCAATGGCTCACCATCCCAGGTACCCAGTCTCGACGGAGGGTGGAACAGCTCGCCCGCAGTGTCCCGCAGGTGTTGCTGCCGACGCTCCTCCGAGCTGGTCGCTCTGGCCACCTTGCGTGAGCTATCAATAGCCCTCGCAGAGCAAGACCGTTTTTCATCACCGCAATAGGCAAAAGGTGGGGAGGAGAGAGGCGCCACCTGACAATCAAGGTCTTGACAACCGAGACCGTGCAGCTGAAGCCAAAGGCGGTAGCGCGAGCATAGCCACCTCAAACTGGTAGCCTCGCGCGAGGTCCGCGAGATGCCATCCATCGAGCGATGCGACGCGTCGACGACGTTGACCCATCGCAGCTGCGCCTGGCGGCCTCTCGTGCCATGAAATGGCAGTTGGGTCTGAAACACACCCTCGAGCTCCTTCTCAGCGGCCGTACCCCACTCCCGATACAACACATCAAGGTTGAACTGGGTTCTATCAGTGTCGCCATTATCGGCCGACTCAAGGGCTCTGGAGGCCATGCGAGACACTAAGTCCCAATCCTTGGATGGTTGGGGAAGGGGACCAGGGGGCCGTTCTTTGGGGAAAGGAGGTGGGCTACGAAACGTGATGGCCCGAAGAGACGCAAGCTGAGGGTGAAGCTTAACCGAAACGGGGCCGTGGGTAGCCAACTCCGAGTCCGCGATAATCTTCGCGCTCGCAATAGCTTGGGCGACCCTAGCCTCAACCAAAACACAGTCGTACATCTTCAAACCCCCAGTCGACCTACAGTTGCCAAGGACACCCGAGGGAACGCAAAATTCAGCACCGAGGCGGTCGGGGATCCGCGAGGTGCACAGGGTCGCTGGTTCCATGTTGAAATCCCCACCGATCACGAAAGGCACCGAGAGGCTCTTGGCTCTCGAGGCAGTGCACGCCAGGATCTCTCGATTGAGATCGTTCAAGCCAGCGCAATCCTGCAGGTAGACACTCATAACATAGAAACTAGCCTGGCCAGGGAGATGGACTAACACCCCAGTGGCTCGATGATCTTTCACCCGAGGCCCAAAATCGGGGTAGTGAAGACCCAGGAAGGACCGAGCCAGGACCCCGACTCCCGAGGACGGACCCCCTCCAGGTCCCAAAACTCCTGGCTCAAAATGCACCTTCCAACCATTTCGAACAC